AAAAAAAAAGATTCAATGTGTATGATTATTGAGCTACCAGATAAAACCAAAACGAATAAATGACTCCATATATAACTAATAGATTTAGGCAACAATCGCGGGTGAAGGCTTACCGCACTGGTCCTATAGTTCCTAATTCGAACAAATCCACTTCTCCCCTTGATCCGTACGCAGCAAAGATCTGAAATTAAGTATTTCTAGCTTACAGATTTTGACGTTTATTGAGAGTCATGCAGTAAAGAAGAGATTAGTCGGGATGCATTTCACGTTTTAAGTACCTCTGGTGGTGTTTGTCCTATGGATGGAGATAGCGAGTTCGACCACAACTTCAATGGTAGCAAACCATTGGGAGTTTTCCATGCGAGCACTTCCACTTGAAATCTGCAAAAAAAGTTTAGAATAAGGATAGCTCGACAAAAGTAGAAATAAAAAACCTCAGATCCCATAACATTAGCTCCTTGTTCGTGCTACACATTACCAGCCAATTTTCCATGAAAGGATCGACGCAAAATGACGTCACCTGAAGAAAAAACCCTATACAAAATTCTTGATTGAGTAAGTAAAAAAACCAACCAAGCCATGATATTTTATCACTTCACGTCGCCAAACTTCATGGAAACCCAAGGACCCGTTTGTTCGTCCGACCCTGAATTTTTACTAAAACTCTTATGAGATTAGACATGCTTCTTGCCTACAAATTTTCTTGTGATGCCACTCAAAGACCAAACATCGCATTAATCAAAATTACCTGAGATCTAGACAGTATATCACGCCGTGGTGACTTCGCAGATACGTAATATTATTTGACACATGAATCTGCTCGGGCGGACCTTCAAAGCTGGGTAGTTGCACCTACAAAATTTTGAAAGTGCACATCAGTGACAGATGGGGCAAAACAGATACCTTTGTTAGCACCCGGGTGTCCCCTCCTCCATTATCTGTCCAGAGAACATGACCGTCCCCGATTGCCATAGCCAAAATCTCGTTACTGGCCCACCCGATTGATGAGACGGGATAATCTTGAAAGTACATAACAATAAACGCTAAAAAGGTCTATTTGATAAGCCTTACTTTTATCGAACGTGAAAGATGCGTCGGATCGGATTGCTCCAGAGCCTTCTCCAACAGCATTTTGTACGTTCCAGAATAGAACCGACCCGTCTGAAGATGAGGAAGCAAAGCGAGTACGGTCCGGCTGCGCAGCTAGCCTAAAAAAAGCTTCAAAAGTTGGAAGTGCACAGAACCACTGCTTTTAGAACTAAAGAACAGACTAATCAACAAGTGTATGGATTCAAAAACTGGCTTCAGATTCAACAAAGTACTTGACAAAGAATAAACAGATACAAGCAATGCAGAGTTAGTGCAAACTCCATAATCAAAATTCATCATGGAGGTTACTCTGGTCCCTTTATTTACAGTATGGAACTCACTGTGTGACTTTGTCGGAATGCTCATGTAGATGCGTTATTAAGGTTCCAGAAATCTTCGCCGCAGATGAAGATGGTCTGCTACCTCTGCAAGGAAAATGAGAATGGTATGGATCACGAAAACGTACGGTTTAGAAGATTTGAAGGCTTACATTCGCAGTCCTCCTCCGCCTCCAAATTTTCTATAAAACAACTCGCTTTTGTGTTGTAACAATTCAGCTAGCTGAGCTCCACAGACGGATGTCCTCACTAAATGCTCATATGGCACGCACTTGGCACGCATTCATTCGCCTCAGGGTAGTGTAAACCACTCACTTGATCTTGCTTGCATCTGCAAATTGGTCGTATTGCGTTCTTCAGTCGACCGATCATCGCTGAGCTTGTCATCTCCAAACATCTCGTTCCACTCGTTATTCATATCCGCCGGAACAACGACCTAAACTTCCAACTTTTGGAGCTGGGAAAGATTGAAGGATCTTGCCTACCTTGTTTTGGGAAGTGCTGTTAGTAAGATACTGGTAAGCATTCCGTCGCACGTTCGCATGCAATTTAGATGACAGGTCAATAATCCCTTTATGTTGAGTCAACTCAGACTCCATCCCAGCCCTACAAATGAGAACAATTTTACAAAAAAAAATTTGACGAGAGAATATTGCCAACTTGATAAATGTAAGCCTAGCATCCCGTAAAGAATGAAAAGTGGGAGCGTTAAACTTACGTTCTTCGAAATTCTGCCATCTTCTGCAGTAATCTATGAAAACGAGATAATTTCTCAAATAGTTCAGGATCTGCAGTATCACGTCCAAAAATCTTTGTGAACCAAGAGTCATTACAGGTTATGGCTCCACCTCTTATTCCACGTTCTGAATAGTACAATTAAGCATCAAATATTTTCCTGGAAAATATGTAAAACTGCAGATGGATGTTTTTCTAACCGAGTATGAACTGTAACGCTTCCGTCTGTTCAGTACTCAATTCCGTGACCTTTTTCCAGGTATCACGAGGTATGGGCTGCTTGAGACAGGTCGCCACGACTAGCTGGAATGGATAATTTCAGACGTTGGGGAGGGGGGAGAGTGGAAAAAGCCGAGACCCACTTTGTTATTCAGACGGAGGAGAGATTCATTTAGATATGGCCGAACCATTGGCAACAAACGACATTGTATATCCGCAAGAGCCCAACGAGAGTCAAGGAGAATGAGAAGTTCGATAACCGTCAGACGAATCCATTCGTTCTAGAACAACAAGATGTTTACCAAAACAAAGAAAAAATCAAGCTAATTATTCCAAGACTACTGCCTAGAAGTGACACTTCAAGATTTATCTACAACCTCTCACAACATGTGAGTCAAGTGCGTCAAAACTAGACTAAAAATCACATATGAACTCGAAGCTGCCAATAACAGGGAAAAAGGACCTAGTCTACAAAAAGGATGTAGAGGAAAGCCTACCGGATGTGATAAAAATGGTAATATGTCTTCCAAAAGTTCCAGTATTTCATTCCGCTCCAAAACTCCAGTGCCAACAAGGATCGTTGTACAATGCACAGCATGTATGACAACTATTTCTTCAAAATCATGCAAACCCTGAGATAAAAAATTATATGCAAAGCATTACCTAGATATTCGATAATACCTGTTGAAGCAATGGTTTGACGTCAAAGTCACGGCGATTCTTCTGCACGCAGATAGGGAGTGATTCAAAAAATGCAGCTCGAAGTCTCCAGTCACTTTTCACATTCAGAAAGGTGATCATATGGCGGAGTAAAATCTCACCACCTGCAATAGCAGAGATGCATGATTGCAAAAGAATAAGAAACAGTTGAAGCATCCAATTTTGAACTACAAGGTCGGCACGCCAAAGATAGCTAGATTTTACAAGATTCTCATGTGATTTTACGGCAACAATGATGTAAATCCTAATCACTTCCATACACTAAATGAAAAGCACCTACAATTCATCCTTGAAAAGAAGGTGTACAACTTCTCCAAAGACTTTCGATTCAGGGCACAGTGACGAACACTGTTGTCCTGACTGCTGCATAGCATTTCGAAGAGTTCGCTAAGAGCTTTTTGCAGTGCTGACTTCTCATCAGCTGCTTGTTGAGCTTCTGAAGTGAAAAAACATCTTCAACAACCAAACCGATAAGCGCAGTGTATCTACCTGAGATGTTTTCGGCACCGGAAATCTCGTCATCTGCTACGCCGTTTCGCAGGTTTCGGCCGACAACGTGAAATCTAAGCAGAAATCTTGATTATTACAGGTCTGAACAATCACAGCGAACGCACCTATAAGCCGTTTCAGCAAGATCACCAAGATTAGTTGCAACAGCTAGAAGCACATGCGTAGGGCATGGATGTCGCTTATCAGACAGCATTGAGGCCTTCAAATAGAAATACGCTGAATTAATGATTTAATCTTCTAGTTATAAAGCATCACAACGTAATCTAAGGGGAGAAGAATAATGATAAGGTCCACAACTATACAAAGCCGGCAACAAAGGAGAAAAATGATGCTGCTAATTAGGCTCACCAGTTCAGGAAGCAAGTAGTCTATGAATACAAGAGAATCTTCAAACGTGGTAGGTTCGATGGGACGGACAAGTTCGGTGATCGAATGTACTGCAGCAGCACGCACTCTTGCATCGAATTCGGACAAACATGACACCTGAACTGAATCATTTAGAACTCAAAAAAGCATCCAAGTGCTCTGCCTTACCAGATATGGCAACACACGTTCGGTTGCTACCGCTGGACTACACAGTGACGCCAGCTTTATCAACAAATTCATAGCATCCTGTAAATGGCAAGTTGAGTCAAGAAGATGAAAGTACGGACTAACTATTTTTGCAGGCACGCTCCGAAGTACACGAATGTTGGCCGTGATAAGCGAAATGAAAAGGATGGCATACGGACGATTCTCATCCGATTCGGTCAAACGATCCCAGAAAGACTTCTCGTCGCGTTTGAGTCTACAACACCACTCATAAAACTGATATACTAAAAGAGAATGAAAAAGATAGGTAAAACCCCACTTTGCAATGACGTCGTCCGGTTCAAGTTGGAAAGTCAGATGCGACTGTTCAAACCCTTCCAGTGACTGCGAAGTAGTAAGGTCCTTTGGTCGGAAAGCATTCAAGTAGCTAAAGAAGGAGTCAAGCACTTTGGGAAAGTGAAAAACCGATCCGTCCAGCTGAAAAGAAAGAAAACTGGGTTTTCATATAACAGGAATTACTGCTCACCACTTGATGAGCAGTGACGCGCATGGATGGTTCACGGTTGAGCAAGAGTTTCAACAAAGGACGAAATTCGGCGGAGACATTATGCAGCAGTCTAGAAAGATGTGAGGATACATTATTAATAAAAAAGATGATAGGTGCTGGTATTTCAGTCAATAAGATATGGAAACGGAAGAAAGAAATTAGTCAAGAGAGTTCAACTAGGAGTAAAAATCCGCAAGCTCACCTTTCAAGGAAAGTTGCAGCCTCACTAGCAGACATTCGCCTGTAATGGCAGAGTTCACCATAAGAAAAGGGTGGTTTGCCAGATTCGTGCAAAAGTTCATAAACTACGCATCCAGCAGCAAAAAGGTCCATGGAAGGCTCGAGAGAGCCTGAAAGGGCTGCCATGAAGATGCTCATCTTTGTGAAAAGATATTTTACCAAAGAGCCATTTATCTCCCTTTTCCTTGTGCAAAATTTCATAGTCGATGGATGAGAGAAAGCGTTCTGGGGCAAGATAGCAATGCTGATGTCGACTCGTGTCGAAGAAGAAGGTGAAGGAAGAAGGGTTATCCTAGAAAGATTGAGTTTTTCATGAATACGCAGGAGGCATACATAAAGTGATGATGCGCTTACATGTGGCAGATAAGTAGGCTTGAAAGGAGCAAAGTCGGTTATCTGGAGCCAGTTCGAAGAAGATAAAAGAATATTTTGTGATTTTAGATCTCCATGGCAGACATTAACTTTTTGGCATTGCGCGACAGCTTTGAAAAGCTGATATATGTACCTGGAAAAAATTGCTTAAAACACTTGAATAATGGGAAACTCAAATTTACCAAATTTTTTCTTGCTGACAGATGAAAGGACGAGTGCTGAGCCTATCACAAAGAGTTTGTTTTTGGAATGGCCTGATCAAGACGGCACATTTAGGGGTCACCTGAATTCACGCATTAAATGGAAGGATATAAAAAAAGGAGCCTTGATCATGCAATAAAAAGAAAAAAAATCGGTTAGTAAGATTACTGCAACGGTAAATAAAAATGAGCAACTTACATATATTCTCTTTACCGTACAACAATTTGGTGCGTTGACAAGAGCATCACGTATTCGGAATATTTCTTTACGGTATGGTTCAAGTACGGATGAATCATCCTGAAATTGCTGCTTTACTGATCTGATACTAAAATTCCGTAGTAGTGTGATGCCTCGTTCCCTCACATTCTCGCAAAAATTTATCTACAATACAGAATCGGTAGGTGGCAGACTTACTCGGTCCACCCGGTTGGTTCAGTTCAATCATTCGCTATTGGTCAAATCGCTGAACTGACCAATAGCGAATGGGGTGAAACGGATGAGAGTTGAACAGATAAGTCTGGCACCCAATATCAGAGCAAGCAGATCAAAATTTTAAGGGAAGTGTCTGGGCACGAATTCGATTTTGAGATTTTGTGGTCCCTGGGCCTATTTGCTATCTCGAATTCGAAAATCCACACTGCAGAGCGCGAAAAAAGCGAGAAAGGGCTCTAACAGGGACTTCAAGAATAGAAAACCCCGCTCACAAGCCAATTTCCCTCCTGTGTCAGAGCCCTTCTTCTCTAAATTTTCAGAATCAGTCGAATAGGCCCAGGTAAGCGAAAAGCAACAATAGCAAAATCAACTTCTTGCCCGGACGCCTTTTACCGTAGTAACACTGCACTTAGAACACGCGGTATGACCGTAAAATAAAGGATAAAAGACTCGGCGTCTTAATACCCTCTGCGGGCATGCTCCGAACGCACACACTTCATAGTCGAAGAGATGGTACATATATGTGAGAGCCTATTACAGTAATTTGCGGGGGCCAGCCGTTTACCAAGTCAGTGCTTTTATCC